GGGGGTGGTTGTGAAAATCAGCAAGTACACAAAGAAGTAAAAAATATAATTTTGGCGGTAAGAAGTGCTTTTGAAGAAATCAAGATGTCCTTCAGTAGGTGAATGGATAAATAAACTGTGGTAAATCCAAACAATGGAATGTTGACTAAACATTCAAGATCCAAAAAGAAATGAGCTAGCAAGCCATGAAAGACACGGAGGAACCTTAAAGTGCCTATGATTAAGTGAAAGAAGCCAATTTGAAAACAATACATACTATATGAGTCCAACCATATGACATTCTGGAAAAGGCAAAATGATGGAGACAAGGAAAGTTAAGAGGTTGCCAGGGGTTGGAGGGAGGGAAGGATGAAAAGGCAGAACACAGCAGGTTTTTAGGGCAGGGAAACGAATCTATGTGCTACTATAATGGTGTCCAAACCCATAGAATATAGACACCAAGAGTGAAGCCCAGGGCAAACTGTGGACTCTGGGTGATAATTAGTGAATGTACTGTTCTGGTGGGGGTTGTCGATAATGGATGAGGTTGTGTGTATGTGGGGCAGAGGCATATGGAAAGTCTCTGCACCTATCTTCTTAATTTTGCTATAGACTAAAACTGCCATAAAATAATGTCTTAAAAATGGAATAAAGATTAAATAAACGAAAAAAATTGAAAAGGGCAAAATGATAGAGGATGGAGGGAGGGACAGTGGAGATGCTGGCAACATTTTAGACAAAGCTGCCGTCAGAGTCTGAGCTGACCATTTTGTCAGTCCCACAAAATGTTCAACGTTGACCTTGGGTAAGGACCTGAAGGACATGAAGGACCAGATCACACGGAGACTTGGAAGCATGGCCTGCCAGGCAGGGAGAACAATCAGTCCGAAGGCCTAGAGGCAGGAATGAAGTTGGCCTCTTAAAGGATGGGCAGAGAAAGCTGGCGATGAGGGAGAGCCTAGAGGAAGAGGGGCTTGGGACATCACAGGGGCCATCGCAGTACTTTGGACAGCCATTGGGGGCTGGTGAGTAGGCCTCAGGAGGTCTTATTAACAAGCTCTGGTGGAGGCCAGTAACAGGCAGCTGCTTATTGAATAGTGCTGTCATTGGCTATATGTGGGCAATGGAAGGTGAGCTTTTTGAGTACAGAGCCCAAATCTTACTCAGCTGGCATACGGAGTAAGGTATTCCAGAGGGGTACAGTGCATTTAATCACCGGAGTGACCATTAAGAAAACCCCAGCCCTGGCTTCTGTGGATCAGTGGTTAGGGCACCACTGTGCACCCAAGGGTCGCGGGTTCGATTCCCAGACAAGGGTACATACCTGGGTTGCAGGTCCGATCCCTGGCCTGGTCAGAGCATGTGCAGGAGGCAGCCAGTTGATGTGTCTCTCTCACATTGATGTTTCTTTCTCTCTTCCCCTCTCTCCCTCCTTACCACTCTCTCTAAAAATCAATGTGTTTTTTTTTAATATCATTCGTTGAAGATTAACAACAACAAAAAAAAACCCTAAATCCCTGCCACCCTGGCCTGGTCAGAGCATGTGCAGGAGGCAGCCAGTTGATGTGTCTCTCTCACATTGATGTTTCTTTCTCTCTTCCCCTCCCTCCCTCCTTACCACTCTCTCTAAAAATCAATGTGTGGTTTTAATATCATTCATTGAAGATTAACAAAAAAAACCCCACAAAAAAACCCCTAAATCCCTGCCGTTAGTGGCTCAGCTCTCACACCTACTCTTTTCTTCTTCCAGAGGCAGGCAAAGTATTCTGAGAACAAGCTGAAGTGCACGAAGGCCCGGAATGACTACTTGCTGAATCTGGCTGCCACCAACGCAGCTATAAGCAAATACTACATCCACGATGTCTCCGACCTGATCGATGTGAGCACCTGGCGTCTGGGACTGGAAGGGCCCCACACCAGGCTGGTGCAGATCATCAGCTGAAGGAGGGGCTGGCCCCTGTCCTTCGCTGATGGTCCAGGGTGGAGGGGAAGGGCAGTGAGCGTGTGGGGTCTGGGAAATGAGTTTCTACTTCTGTGGGTGGGAGTGGGCCTGTTGCAGCCCCTACAGAGTTGGGTCGGGCAGTCATATTCAGCGTGCACTTGCCAAGTACACTCTACTAGCCCAGGCCCTTGGCTGGGTTTGGGGATACGGGAGTGGTTGTCTACAGTTCATGCCCTAGGGATTTCCCCGTGTGGTACAGACATGTTCAGCACCTATATTCAGCGTGCACTTGCCAAGTACACTCTACTAGCCAAGACCCTTGGCTGGGTTTGGGGATACGGGAGTGGTCGTCTACAGTTCATGCCCTAGGGATTTCCCGTGTGGTACAGACATGTTCAGCACCCCCAGGTCTAGTCTGCCAGACATATACCACACATGAAAGAAAATAGAATTACAGTTGATCCTTGAACAATGTGGAGGTTAGGAGTTCCAATCTCCCCCTTCAGTGGAAAGTCCATTACATAACTTTTAACTCTCAAAACTTAACTACTTGGGAGACTTGGGATTGCAATTTGGGCAACAGCAGAACTTCTCTCAGCTTCCCAGATTCACCACATTCTTTCTCATCTCTAGGCCCCTTCAGTGGAAAGTCCATTACATAACTTTTAACTCTGAAAACTTAACTACAGTCGTCTCTCAGTATCTACAGATGCTCAAGTCCCTTATATAAAATGGTGTAGAACAGTGCATATAGTTGATCCCAACATTGGATCAAAAATACTGTCTTCAATCCACGGTTGGTGTAATGTGAGGATGTGAAAGCTGGGATATGGAGGGCTGACTGCATATTTAGTGAAAAAACTCCAAGCCTGCACAGTTCAAACCCGAGTTGTTTAAGGGTCCACTATGCACAGGTCAGCTTTCTTGGGATGTTATCAGTGGAGCAATCAGGCCATTTAAGCAAAAGGAGAATGGAACACTGATTTCCATACCAGCTGCATAGGATAGGCTGGAAGGACAGCCATGCTTGGAGAAAGACTGTTGTGAGTGGCGTCATCAGGGAGAGCCTCTGTCGCCTGTGTTGGAACTGGGACTGCTTCTCATGTTTATTGAGCAGCTACTAGTTCTGGGTCTTGAGGTGCTACAGTAGACAAAAGCCAGTGGCTCAGCCCTCATGGAGCTTACGCTGTATAACCCTGACACGTTAACAGGCAATCGCCATGCCACGAGGCAGGTGTCACAGTGAGGGAGCTGGAGAGAGAGGTGGACCCCTAGAGGAGGGACATCAGATGTAAACTCTGAGTGGGGAGAACATCAAGGAAGACTTCCTGGAGGAAGTAACCTCTAAACTGAAACCTGAAGGAAGGATGTTTAGACAGGAGGAGAGAGGAAGAGTATGCCAGGCAGAGGGAATGCATGTGAGAAGGCCTGGAGATGAGAAAGAATGTGGTGAATTTGGGAAGCTGAGAGAAGTTCTGCTGTTGCCCAGATTGCAATCCCAAGTCTCCCTGAAGGTTTAATGTGATTTGTATGGTAGGGTTCCAAAATACACAAGGGCCCCCAGGATAAAAGATTTTGACTATGGAATGAAAGGTCATCATGATGGGACAGGAAATACTTGTGGTCCCACCTTCACATCACGGCCCTCACTTTACCCTTCTGTTGTGTGCCTGTCTCCAAGTGCTGTGATTTGGGCTTTCATGCCAGCCTGGCCCGCACCTTCCGGACCTACCTCTCAGCTGAGTACAACCTGGAGACCTCTCGCCACGAGGGGCTGGATGTTATTGAGAATGCGGTGGACAACCTGGATTCCAGAAGTGACAAGCACACGGTCATGGACATGTACAACCAGGTCTTCTGTCCTCCACTCAAGTTTGAGTTCCAGCCGCACATGGGGGATGAGGTAGGTTCCTCCCAGGAGCCCATGCTTGAGACTGCTTCCATCTGTTCCCCCACATGCTCCCAGAACATTGGTGGGAGGGGACCATCAGCCCCCATTCCACATGCAGCATGTTTATCTCAGAGGCCTGGGGTCAAGTTCTTGGTTCAAGGGCTTTCCCAGCTAAGGAGTTTACCACTAATACCTTAACCTTACTGGCTCAAGTTCCCCACCCGCAGAATTGCAGGACCTTAGTGCTCCTTAAAATCCCTCCCAGTTACTGTAGAATATCTCACGTTCCTCCCTTGGATCACTGGAGTCTGGGCCTCATCACAGCCACTCTGGCTAATGTCCTCTGCCTGCCCTCCAATACAGGAGGCACACCACCAACTGAGTTTTCTTCAGTGCTTGTGCTTCTCAGATTCTTGCTATAATCTGGGGTGGGAGGGAGGGTAAGGCACTGGTCACTGTGCATGTCATGACTGCGTTGAGCATTGCCTCCTGGTGGTCATTGCATGTCATAGCAACTGGCTGGATGGTCGGACACTTAGCATATTAGCCTTTTATATATATAGATAGCTCCTGCCCTAACTCCACACAGATGATGAGGACACTGGGTGACTGCTAGTGGGGGCTGTTATTCCTACAGGTGTGCCAGGTCAGTGCACAGCAGCCCGTCCAGACAGAATTACTCATGCGGTACCACCAGCTGCAGTCCAGACTGGCCACTCTCAAGATAGAGAATGAGGAGGTAAGTGAGCCCCTCTGCCCTACAAGGGATTTCCTTACAAAGGCCTAACTTGTCCTGGGGACTCCACATTCGCCAAAGAACACATAATAAATTAGGGTTCATCTGTAAGATAGACTTCTACACAACCATTAAAATCATGCACACCAAGAATCTTTCAGGGGGAATGCTCACGAGATGCTGAGTTAAAGAAACAAAAAGAGAAAGTAAAATTTTATGTTCAGTATTATCATAACTCAGGTAGACTAGAGTATGTGCATATGTATTTGTGTGTATTCACAGGCATAGAAAAAAGACTGGAAGGAAATACTTCCAAATGTTAATAGTGGTTATGTCTGGGTTGTGGATTATAGGTGATTCCTGTGTTGTTGTTGTTTTTATGCTTTTCTCTATTTTCTGTAATGTTATTTATGTTATTTTTATCATCAGAAATAATAATAGGTATTTTAATGTATACAATTAAATGAACAACCCCAGGCACACTAAATGTGTCATGGATTCTGAGCCCCAAGGAACTTCTATCTTACCATGATCAGCATATCTCCCATGCAGCTGGTGGTACAGGATTACCACTGGGAGGGTACAAATGGAAAGCCCAGCTGTGGTGGTTCCATTCTGATGTGGACTGATGAGGCTAGGTGGGAAAAATTCTATTCCAGCCTGGATACCTTCATGGGGGGAGGATGTCAACCAACTGGTGGACACCAGGATGTGGGGAGTGGACAGGTTTTTCATTGAGAAGTGCATTCACAGCAGGCGATGGGAGCCAGGGTCCTGTTTTCACACCTCAGGAGGGCTGTCCTGGCAGAGAGGGCGGTTCACTCTGTCTTCATAAAGGACAGAAGTAGGATGAACATGAATGTCACTCTATGCCCTTTCTCTATAATAGAAGTGTCAACCAAATTCACGATCGACAATGACAGATCGAAACATGCGTGCAGTTGGCACCAGCAAGAGCTTTATATGTATCGCACATGCACGAGTCAACTTAGCCTTTTATAGATATAGAATAAACTTGCTTAATTAGACTAGCTTTCTGATGTAGCTAAACTTTTTCCAGCCCAGTGAAGCACCCCAACTTCTCTTTCATGTAATTGTCACTCAGGATGATGACGAATCAAAGCAGTCCCTGGGGGGAGGTTTTGTGGAGACAAATTATATATTTGTTTTTCAAACCTGAGAAGAGAGAGGAGATGAACAGAGTGTGTTCTTTATTTACTCTTTATTTACATCTTTCCCCGAAGCATTTAAAAGTGTTTACATGGAACAGTGTATGGATAATAATGTTAATGGAATTTAAATTGGAAATTAGGGCCACAGAAAGAATGAAGCGAGTGTTTCTCTGTAGAGGCTGTTCATGGTCATGGAATTCTCGATTTGGAACCTGAGCTTCTGTCAGGCTATATTAGAAAGAACTGAGTCGTTAATGTATTCATTCAACAAGTTTTTATTGAATGAATACTTATTCAAGTATTTCTTAAGCATATATTATGTGCTAAACATTGTGCTAAAATGCAGAGTAAAGTGAGTGAACAAGACAACATAGTGCCTCCTCTCATGGAGTTTATATTCCACTGAGAAAAGAGAGATAGTAATAAAAATACAAAAGAAAACAAAGTAATAAATAATGAGTATGCAGATTATTAGACATAGATAGGCACTAAGTTAAAAATTGTAGTCAGGAAGCCTGATGTCACCAGGAGGTGACATTTAAGTTGAGACCTGAGTGACTTCTCCTGGAAATGTTTTTGGAATGACGCTCCATCAAATTATAGGGTTTGCTGTTTAAGCTCAAATCAGTGATGAGGTATTGTGAGGTGAGGGCTTGTGGGCCCTGCATGTGTAGCCTTCCAGGGGTCCCACTCAATCCCAAGGCAGAAATCAGGATCCTGGAGAAATGACTAGACTGTGGTGTCTCGGCATCTCTCTTCCTCAAGGTTCTCTCTTCTGTGAGGGTTTTGATAGGACTCAGGTGGCAGATAGCTGGAGAGTTCATTCATGGAGGATGGCTGCTCACCTTACCCAATCTCTGTCCCTACCCTGAAGAGAACCAAGAGTGTTTATAGTGTTGTCCTTCTTCCCATATAGTTTGGGGCTGTATAACCAGGTAAAGAGAAACAAACCAAGAAACCTGAGTTCCTTTTTCGTCACAATATTCTCCAAGGCTCTCTCTGGCTGAAGCAATCTAATAAAATGACTTTAGATTGGTCAACCTGGATGCTCACCCCAGGCAGCTAACTGGCCTTACTTTGCACATCAATATAGTAATGGGAATGATCATCTTTGTCCTGCCTGCCTCCTAGAGGCTTTGTGTGGAAGAAATAAAGTAATGGTTAGGAAAAGGACTTTGAGGTGTCAAATGCATCCTGAGGCTAACGGTTTTCTGTCGACATGCTTCCCCAGGTGAGAAAAACCCTGGATGCCACCATGCAGACCTTACAGGACATGCTGACTGTGGAGGACTTTGATGTCTCTGACGCCTTCCAACACAGTCGGTCCACAGAGTCCGTAAAGTCGGCTGCCTCTGAGACCTACATGAGCAAGATCAACATCGCCAAAAGGAGAGCCAACCAGCAGGAGACAGAAATGTTTTATTTTACAGTAAGTGGACCCAGAACCCGCTGTCTGCTTACCCGCTGGCACTGACTTCTGAAGAGCAGCCCAAGCTAGAGGGAGCCAGTGAAACCACGTGGGTCAGTTAGACCGACAGTCCTTCCAACATGCTTCCCAAATTAAGTTGCCTGGCGTGGCTTTGTGAAATGCAGAAAGTGAATCACCAGTGATAGAATCGTCATTGATCTTGAATTGATGGTTATTGCAATGTTCCTGTTCTAGGAAAAAAACAAACTGTGTTCACTAGGGTGAGAGGATAATGGTAATGGAGCCAAGGGCAAGCCCCAAGTAACAACCCTGAAGTTTAGTGGATGGTTGTCGTGTTGCGTTGTCTTAAATTGGGGTGCAGGCTTTGAAAACAATGCCCTGCGTGATCCATGCAAATTGCTGGTGAGTTGCCAGGCCTTCATGTAAAATTCCAGATGGCTAACGTTCCACTTGGCCAGGGACAGGAGGAACACAGATAAGAGCCATCAAGGCTGTAGTTCAACCTGTGATTAGTGAACATAGAATTTGGGGTTTTAAGGGACCTTAAATCCTCCATCTGATGCTTTATCCCATTCAACCATATCTCTTCAAAAAGTCATCCAGCTCTGCTTGAACAGCCCCAAGTTGAAAAGCTCCCTCCTTCCCCTAGAAGCCCTTTTGTTTGGCCTGTGGCTGGCTATAGATATTATAATGTTTTCCTTTATCTCTGTTCTCTTCAAAAATCTGCCTCACTGGGATTTCTGGTCATTGATCTTGATTCTGTTCTCTGGGGTTATCCAGAGAGCGGCTAATTCTACAGGACAGTCTTTGGTGTGGTCACAGGGAGTTGGGTTTTCATTTCCAGGTTAGACATATCTGGTTCTTTCAGTCCTGCCTCATAAGCTTTCCCTTTGAGATGCCTCAGTATCCTAGTGACTCTCTCCTGGACATGTTCCATTTGTCGAAGCCTCTTCCAAAATGAGACTCCCAGCAGTGTGGTCTGACCGGCACAGGCTAGAGCTAAACTCTCACCTCCTTCCACAGTAGGTGCTATGCTCCTTTTCATGTGTCCTAAGATCATATTCCTTTTTTTAAATAAAGCTAAGTTAATACCAATTAAATCTCTATTCCCTATGCACCAACGTTAAACCAGGTTGCCCTCCTCCTGAAGGATGAGTAGGTGACGCCTTGGGTAGGTCTTATGTTTATCACATCAGTTAGAGATCTTCTTCATGGATTCAGTGCATGGCTCTAGACTGACAAGATCCTGATCCAGTTGTTCACCATATATGCTGTCTCTTCAGACCTTGTGTGGTCTTCAGACTCAGTGAGTGTGGCTTCCAAACCTTAATGTTTGTCAATAAAAAAAATAATGGATATGTCAGGGGCAAGGCCAAAAACAGAGTCATTCAAAACAGGCCATTAGGCTAATATTGACTCCCCCCCCGCAACCCCCCATTCAGCATCTTTAGATTGCGGTCATTTAACCAGTCATAAACCAACCCAATTCTAGCATTCACCTTGTGACAGGCCTTGTCAGATCCCTTGTCAAAAACCCATCTCCCCAACCAACACTCTTCAACTTTGTTGTTCTCAAAAAAGAATTCATAGCTAGTCTTAGTGAATCAGCCGATGCCAGTCTTTGAGGTTCACCACTTCCACTGGGGACCACCTATGTTTGCAGAGAAAATTTATGGGTTACAAAGATAAGTGAGGAAAGGATATGAGTATTAATTCACTCTGGCAGCAGAAGCGAAGCAATTTGGGTGGCAGACGCAGAAAAGGGGGTCCAGCCTGCTTGAAATTAAAAGATAGAATTCACCAACGTCCATGATTAAGGGTCATCAATGTCATATTTTAATGTTAGTATTCAATTTATCATCCTGGTTTGCTAGTAGACCTCATGACTTGATGTTGTGACATTATTTGGGGTATTATTAAGGGCGTAATATTCCCTTTAATGCAGACATAAGTACAATTTGATGGCACTCTTTCCTTCATGGGTCACATGTGAAACCTGGGTGAAGGTTGGAAGAAGTGGGCAGAGTCCACAGGCCCCAGAACCCCAGGGTGTAGGTGACTAACCAACCCACTAAGGCTTGAGTTATGTGTTTGGGATTAGAGCAGTGATGGCAAACCTATGACACACGTGTCAGAGGTGACACGTGAACTCATTTTTTTTTGGTTGATTTTTCTTTGTTAAATGGCATTTAAATATATAAAATAAATATCAAAAATATGTCTTTGTCTTACTATGGTTGCAAATATCAAAAAATTTCTATATGTGACACGGCACCAGAGTTAAGTTAGGGTTTTTCAAAATGCTGACACACCGAGCTCAAAAGGTTCGCCATCACTGGATTAGAGCTTCAACTATCAGGGGCAGTGAGGCATAGTAGAGAAAACACCTACTTGTACCTCAGCTGTGCATTTTATGGGGAATTCTTAAACACGGGATAGAATTAGGGGGCGTTGCCAACAGAAGCATTCAGAGAGAGCCTCTAGGTGAGCAGTTATTAAACGAAAGTGTGCACGTGAATCATATGGGAAGCTGTTCAAAACCTTGGTTCCCACACTATCACCTTTCCCGAGGTGGGGCCCTGGAAAGGGGAACATTTCTGGGCCTCTGTGGTGTCCTCCTTGGTGTAAAATGAGGGGTTATTAGACTCTCAGTATTCCTGAGCAGGAATCTGCATTTTGTCCCTCTCTCCAGCCGGTGGGAAGCCATGGTCCTTACACCACACTTGGAGATAACTGTGAGTCTACTCTCATTTTACCCTGAGGGGGCCATGGAGCCAGAAATCCTATATAATAAGAGAGAAATATGCATATTAGGCCGGGACATCATGACCAGCTCAGAGCATGCTCCCAGCCCCAGCAGACACACACCACACACCAGGGCTGGGGGCGGGCTCTGAGCCTGCCCCCAGCCCTGGTGCCGCCCAGCTCTGAGGCCATTCCCGCTGAGGGTTCATGGGCAGACAAGCCACACCACCTGCCCTCGGAACAAGGCCCCCAGCGGACCCGCGGACCCGCCCAGGGGGGCGTGCTCTGAGCTGCCGCAGCCAGACTGTGGCTTAGGCCCATGGGGAGCGGGCCTAAGCTGTCAGTCGGACATCCCCTGAGGGCTCCCAGACTCTGAGAGGAAGCAGGCTGGGCTGAGGGACATCCACCCAGTGCACGAATTTCATGCACCGGGCCTCTAGTATTCAATAATCTGCCCAAGGTCACACACTGACTGGACACGGCTCTGAGCTCCAGTCTCCTCCTGGGTAGAATGGAAATTACAATGCTCCGCCCATTTGCCATCCAAGATTGTGGTGAGGACTGAATGGATGTATTTGACACTGTCGAGTGCTCTATAGATACAAGGGGGAATGACTCCGAAGGACCAAGGGACAAGTCCTAGGAGCTAAAAAGGACATGGCCAAGGTGAGGGGACACCACAACCTTCCACCAGCCCAGCTGGTGCAGAAACTCACCAAGGTGGGGACAGTGTGAGGTGACCCCAATCTTACCTATGCACATGTCAGCCCCCACCCCATGGCCTTGCCCCTACAACTGTTCACAGGAAGATGGTGGTGTTCCAGAAGCTCCTTTACAGGTCACATGGGGGCATCCTGAGCCTCCACAGCTCATTTCTCTGCTCCTCTGCACCCCTTTCTGACCTTCTAGCAGGAACAATGGAATGGATTTCTTTGTGAGAAACTAGCTGGCAGATTCTGGGCAATCACAGGCATACTTGTACTTTCATACTCCAGGCTTTTGCAATTGCCATTCTGTCCGCTTAGAACGCTCCTTCCCCGATGTACCTACATGGCCCTTTCCTCACCTCCTTCAGGCCTTGACTCACATGTCAGCTTTGCAGCCAGGTCTGCCCCAAGTTCCAATCCTCCATTCCTGCCTTATTTTCATTCATAGCTTTCTTCACCATCTGACCAATTGTGTGTTTTACTTACTTTTTTGGTTAGCTTATTGTTTCTCTCCTCACCCTGCTGTGCCAACTTCATCAAGTCAGGGATTTAGCTCAATCTCTCAGCACCTACTTTATACCAGGCATATAGTAGTTACTGAGTTGGGCCAGGACCACACCTGCAGTGGCTCATGGTCCATCAACGACATGCCCCAGCAGAGAGGGCTCCAGCCCTGTGTTTGGTGATGAGACACTGGGTGGGGGAGTCGAGGAAAGCTGGTACCTGTATGGAGGTGAGGCTGAGGCCCTGCTGAACTTGGGACAGGTAGGTGCATTTCTAGTCTGGGTGGCCCCGTCCCTCCCCACTGCTCAGAGTGCTTTGTACTTGGCCAGGCTTCTGAGCTAGAGGCAGCCTGGAGGTCCCAGGAGGCTTGGGCACGTCACTTCCCTGTGCTAGCCTTACCCGTCTCATCTGTAAAAAGAAGAAAATAGATTCCCCAATGCAGTTGGGGTTATTCTACTAGGGCTGTCTCTGCGGCCTGCAGAGCTCTTCCTCCTCCAGAGCGGGGCCAGGTGAAGAAAGACCTGTTCCCAGCTCCTCTCTGACAGGTCTGGTAGAGCACTCGCGCTCAGCCGTGTGCCCCAGGGATGATTCAGTCTTTGTTGCTCTTGGCCCAGAAGCACAGTGGAGCTTTGATGACTGAAGAAGCCCTCTACTCAGAGCTCCCACAGTCCTCACCTGACAACTGCACCTTTCACAGCTCCAGTTCCCCTGAGCTTTCTTTGTGGTCCCAGAACTGACCTGAAATGCCTGCAGCCCTCACGGGATTGGGCAGCTGCTCGGCAGAGCTGGGGGGTCTGATGGGGAAGAGCAAAGGAGCAGCCTCAGAGGCTCCCTTTCCCCACACTGGGGTCCTTGGGGTGACACGCTCTCCCTTTGACCTCCCTGTCCCAGAGGTCCATTCCAGAGCAGAGATTGGAGACTTGGCCCTGTGATCTGTAATGTCCTTGTGCTTTGTGTCTTACAGAAATTTAAAGAATATGTGAACGGCAGTAACCTCATCACTAAGCTGCAGGCCAAGCACGACTTACTCAAGCAGACCCTGGGTGAAGGTGAGTCAGGTGGTGGAGGCCTGTGAGGAGGGGTTGTCTTCCCAACTGGGTTCTGTTGTGGCCCCTTGAGCTGTCTTAGCTTGAGACACAGCGCACTTGGCAGAATGAGGCCTGGTACTGGTGCCACCTCCTAGGACTGGGTAAGCTGCTACAGTTTATCATCTATAGCCTTGGTACAAATGCTGAGAGGGGTTCAGTCTGACTGCAGAAATAGGGAGAAAACACAGATTTTAATTTAGGTTATGTGGAGAGTCTAAGGCAAAGTGATAAAGGGCCCCCCAGTAGGAATTGGGGTGAGATTGCAGAGACATGGGAGTCTGCATTAATGCTTTTCTGCCAGGAACTATTGGAGTGTCCAGGATTCTAGGTCCAAAAAAGAAAAATCCATATGCGTAAGGCACGGTTTGGTCCTTGAGGGGCCCAAGGACTAGGCTTAAAACTACCCAAAGTAGTTTATGACAGTTGAAATAAAACCCCAATGACTCTCATAACATATGAGGCCTTAAGTCATTTGACCTCTGCCTGCTTCCCTGATCTCATCTGCCATTCTCTACTTCCTTACTGTGCTCTAGCCACTCAGCACTGTTCAAAACTCGTTGAGCTTTTTTTCTACCCCAGGGCCTTGGCATATGCTCTTCCCTGCCTAGAATGCCCTTACTCCAGATCTCAGTATGGATGACTCCTTATCCTTCAGTTGACAACACAGATATCACATTCTCAGTGAGGCTCTCCTTGCCACCTGACCTCAAGGAATCACCACCTCTGTCCCAACATTCTGTCTGATTTTCTTCATCCTACTCATCATCATGTGAAATCACCCAATTTATTATTTGTTCACTTGCTTATTATCTTTGGTCATGCCCCCACCCCACTTCAGCAGTATCACATCTCAAATCGAAGTAGGGACTTCCTTGCTTATTTTGTCCACCACTTTATCCTCAGTGCCTAGAAGAGTGCCTGGCTCATAGTTGGCTCTCATATAGTCACTGAATGAATGTTGAATAGAAAGGTCACCAGAACATCAATTAGGACCCAAGGTCAAGGATGTTTTACAACAAGTTCTGGTGGGCCTGGAACCTGACGTGAGGCTCAGCTGTGAGGAGAGGAAGCTGACTGGGCCCTGCCTGGAGCACCATTAGCCCCACACTCAGATATACTCTGTGTTCTGTTTGAAGAGGGCTGTTGGCAGAAGGGTGTGCTCCACCAAAAGGAAAGAAAACGTAGGCTCCAGGAAATAGGGAGCCAACACGAGAGAGATGAAGGGAATTTCCAAGGTGATGATGCCAGTACATCTGGAGACAGCTTGAAGCAGGCCTAGAGGTCACCGGGATTTGGAGGGAGGCAGGAAAAGCATTACAAAATGAGAGCTGTGCTGGGGCACGAGGCTGGCTCTCATTGGCTCAGTGGGTGTTTGCCATCCACAGCATGTCCTTGCCCTTTACTACATCATTCTTTTCTCCTTGTGGGTGCACATCCCAGTGTCTGTGCTCTGGCCACACAAGCCCTCCCTTACACTGTCCCCTCAGCAGCTATCAGGTGGGCTGCTGGATCTCCAGATGCTTGGCAGTTGTGACCCCCATGCTTTAGAGGAATGGATTTCCCAACCCCAAGGTATTTGTAATCTGGCTGGGAGACAAGTCATGAATTCATAAAAAACTAAATAACAATAAAATTGTCACACAGAAAGGCTAGATGAATTTCCAAGTGGACAGCACGGATTCTGAGGGCAGTGAGTCAGGAGAGGAAGGGATCACCATTGGCCCAAGAGAACTGGAAATGCTTCAAAGAAGGTGAATAGCTAGGGGTTGGAGGAATAACAGGGGCTTTAAAACTAACACCAATGGAAATTTTCCAATTAACTTTATTGATATGTAACGTATATACAATAAGATGCACCCATTTTATGTATAGAAATCAATGTTGATAGACATATACGCCCCGGTATAACCACTCACATCAAGATGCAGATCATCTCCATCAACCCAAAAGGTACCTTGTGCCTCTTTGCAGTCATTCCCCAAGCTACCACTGCTTTGATTTCTATCAACATAGATTAGCTCAGTGTGTTCCAGCTGGTAAGGGCTGGGGAACTTTGGGCGGGGGGAGGGGAGGGGCGAGGATGGAAATATTCTGTATCCTGATTTGGGTGGTGGTTATAAATGGGTGTATATATTTGTCAAAACTCACTGACTGAGGGGTAAGGGTGAGGAAGAATCAGTTGTTTCTTTGTTTCCTCCCACCCCTCTACATGCTGCCCATCCTGACATTTCAGTATTGGGCCAGGTGAGTGGGGCCATTGAGGAGTGTGGGAAACACAACAGCGGGAATGGAGTAAAAGAGGCAGAAAGTCCTAGAGAGGAGATTGGTGAGTGTGTGACATGTGAGTTGGTGGCTACTTAACTTTAATTTCAAGATTGGATGCCCTAGATTTAGAAAACTAGATATTCTTTGAAAAAATAAGATCCCAGATGAGAAAGTGCTTCTCTCCAGCTCCCCTATGAGTGATCTCAGATGCAACCTGAATGGCCTTCATTAAATACTACTAATAGTTTTGTTTGGAATAACTCCAAAAAAGAACAATCCATATGGCCCCACTCACCTGGCCCAATACTGAAATGTCAGGATGGGCAGCATGTAGAGGGGTGGGAGGAGAAGAAGAAACAACTGATTCTTCCTCACTGGTCTTGCAAGTTTATTGAGCCCTTCGAGCGGTTCTCAACCTGTGGGTCGCGACCATCGGAAAACACATATAGCATATCAGATATTTACATTATGATTCATAACAGTAGCAAAATTACAGTTATGAAGTAGCAACGAAAATAATTTTATGGTTGGGGGTCACCACAACATGAGCAACTGTATTAAAGGGTCGCGGCATTAGGAAGGCTGAGAACCACTGCTGGACACACCTTGCTCTGAGATGTGATTTACCAGTCGTTTCTCTGAGAGTTGAACTGAATAGCAACAAGAAACTGCAGGAAAATGTAGCTTCCAAAGTATAAGGGCAGCAAAGAGCGAGCCATCTATAAGACTCACCACTGTTCTGTTCTCTAGTAAGCCAGCAGTGGGAAAGCCACTGTGTTCCTTTCGATAACTAAGATGGGGGCGTCTTAATAAATTTTTTGTTTTAGACTAGTTTTAGATTTACAGAAAAGTTGCAAAGGAAGTACAGAGTTCCCGTGTACTCCATGTCCAATTTCCCCTATTATTAACACCTTACATTAATACAGCATATTTGTCACAATTAATGAATATTGGTACATTATTATTAACTAAAGTTAATAAATTACAGAATTAATGAAAAAACTGAAGCTGAGACCAAATCTTTTTGTTGTTGTTCAGTGCGTGATAAAGGTGTATGTGGATTCTTAGGACATTGGGTGAAAGGGAGAATTTTCAACCAGGAGAATTTGCACCAACTTAGACTGATAAAGTTCTTGCCCATTGGGCAAGGGGGAGGCATGGAATAAGCAGGCCAAAGAGCTCAGAAGTTTGGCTAATTCATTCTTCCAAGTATCAACAAATGGTTCACCTTTACCTGAGCGCATTGACTTCCATTCAGTAGAAAGCCCTTCTAAGAGTGGGGCAAGGGGAGGGTTAAACCTGCATCAATGGCCTTCTTATTTCGTAGGAGAGCTATTTTGCATGGGGAGGAACAATGTGGAAATTTTGAAAACGGGAGAAATATGGGGCCAAATGGAATACTTTGCCTGAAAAAATACAAGTGTGTGGGTTTTTTTAATGAAATAAAGTAAAGTACCATGTTGAATGCTTTGCCAGCATTCTATTTTCATAAGTTAGGGAAAGCGCAAAGTCTTTTGGGTCACCTTCACTTAGAAGTGAATTTTTGAACACAATCAATTCCAGACACATAAATAAAAAAGCTCCTGTGTGCCCCACAAATTGGCATTCTTGTTATAAATAATATCACTGCCACATCTTGGGAACAAGAGCGCCCACCCTTATATGCCTTTGGTTGTTGCTATGTTGTTTTATTGGCCAGAGAATTCTTAGTTTATCATCTGAGTCTTAGCTCTCTGACCTTTTTATTGCTCTGGGTAGTCTGTAATCTCCAGGGCTTACACACAAGATACAAATGGTTTTGCAATTTACTAGAGCCCCTCAAGGATGAATGGTGCATCGTCTATTAAAGGGAAGGGACATAACCTTTCAGGCCAAGATTTAATAGTGCATTACTGAGCATAGTGTCCACCAGGACCAGGCAGTCTGACCTTTTAGAAAATGACTGAGCCACTGAGTATAAAATATTTCTTTTTAATCTCAACAGGTCTCAGAAGGTAAAGGGCAGAGCATTTTTTATTTCTGATATTTGTTGGAAGTTGAGACAACAGACTCCAAAAGATGCTGGTGATGGGGTTCTTGAGAGCTGGGGTTGGTCTAAAGCTGAGGAGTGTGTAGTAGAGTCCTCACCAGAGGAAAGGCTGCCTGAGTGTGTGCTGGACTTCCACCACAGGACCTAACCCTCTGACCCCTGCCCTCCCTGCCCTGTCTGTCCCTTCATCTGTCCATCCTCTATGTACACAAGACAGACAAGGTTCCTACCCTTATGGGGAAGAGAGACCTCAAACAGTAAACAAACTATAAAGAATTATAACTGTGATACGTGCCATGAATGGAAAATTCAGGCTGAGATCAGCTGGGGGGGGGGAGGGGAAGAGGCAGCAATGGGGTGGCTTGCTTTAGGTTGAGTGATCAGAGAGGCCTCAAAAGGGAGGTACTGGTTAAGCTGAGACTGAAAAGAGGAGAAGGCATCAGTCACATGAAAAACTGGGGAAAGAGTGTTGGGACCGAGAGAACAGCACGTGCAAAGGTGTGGGGAATACATGGAAGAGGGGGAGCAGGAAACTCCCCCTGGATCCCCTTTACAATCAGCACAGGCCACTGGCTCAGCCCTTTCATGGGTTGCCATTGGCTCCTATTCAGGGTCTTGGGTCCTCATGAAAATTCTCCTCAGCTTGGTGTCTGATGGAAAGTTGCCCCAGACCCCAGACACATAATCAAGATTGTTTTACCTGACTTTTCTATTCTTCTGCTTTGGTCTGGCTCCAGTTCAACCAGCTTCCAGTCACTCTTGTGACTGATTGTGGCTTTGGTCAGGAATTAAGGAATTGTGTGTTGGTTTGTTCTAAGTTATATTTTCAAATCTCCCGTTACTCTCTTCCTCCCCTCACTTCTCTCCCTAGCCCCATTCAGCATTGTTTTCTGTAGGGAAAATAAATGCTCAGTTCTTTCTTTTAAAAAGTCCCTTTAGCCCTAACCAGTTTGGCTCAGTGGATAGAGCGTCGGCCTGTGGACTGAAGGGTCCCAGGTTCGATTCCGGTCAAGGGCATGTACCTTGGTTGCGGGCACATCCCCAGTAGGGGGTGTGCAGGAGGCAGCTGATGGATGTTTCTCTCTCATCGATGTTTCTAACTCTCTATCCCTCTCCCTTCCTCTCTGCAAAAATTCAATAAAAGATTTTTTTTAAAAAAGTCCCTTTATGTGAATGCTGGATGGGGTTCTAGAGTCTAGAGCTGTGCTGCCCAATATGGTGGCTACTACCACATGGCTATTGAGCAATTGAAGCATGGCCAGTCTGAACTGAGATGTGTAAAGTGAACACCAGATTTCAAAGTTAGTGCCTCCCCCCAAAGAATACAAAATATCTTATTAATTTTTATGTTGATCCATATTGAAATGAGAATGTTTTTTATGTGTTAGATTAAATACAATATGTTATTAAAATTAATCTCACCTGTTTCTTTTTACTTGTTGTAATGTGGCTACTAGACATTATGGCTTGCATTATTTTCGCATTGGACAGCATGGTCTAGAGGTCTGCTCCTGCTCCATGAAAGGAATGAAGTACTGAATCATGCTGTATGGAAGGACTTCAGAAGCATTAGGCTCAGTGAAAGAAGGATAAGGCCACATCTCTCATGATTCCATTTGTAGGAAATGTCCAGTATAGGCAGATCTGAAGAGGCAGAGAGTGGATTAGTAGATTCATGGTTTCCAGGGGCTGGAGGTGAGAAGATGGAGAGACTGTGAATTGGCACAAGGGATCTTTCCCATGTGATGGAAATGCTCTAACATTGAATTGTAGGTGACGGCTGCACAACTTTGGATATTAACTAAAAATTATTGAGGTGTACATTTCAAGTGGGTGAATTTTATGATCTATAAATTATGCCTCAGTAAAACTGTTCAAAATTTAAAAAGGGGCAATCTAGGAGTCCAGGGGGATGTGGAATCTGGAGATAAGATTAGGGAGTCCTCAGTAAGCATTTGAGATCGCCTAGAGAGGGTGCACAGAAAGAGAAGAGAAGGAGGTGCGGGTATATGTTCTAGGAGCATTCCGACATTTAGAGGTTGGAGGTGGGCAGATGAGGAGGTGACAACGAGAGAAACTGAGGAGCAGCCTGGAGGGGAGGAAGGACACCTGAGATAAGGACCTGGGAAGTGTGGATCCATGAAAAGCAAGAGGAGAATGCTTCTAAGAGGAAGGGAGCTATGAGCTGAGTTGAATGGTGCTGAGAAGTCAGATAAGAGCGGAGAGGGCATTGGACTCAGACACGCAGAGCCGGCTCTATGGAGTGGTGAGGGCAGAAGCCACTGCAGTTGGGGAGGGAGGAGGGACAGTGACTGACAGCTCCTTCGGGAAGTGCTGCTGTACGGAGAGCTGAGAAATGCAGACGTAGTTAGAGGGAAAGCTAAAAAGCTAGCATATACATATCCAGAATATGTCTCTATGCGAATGGAATGATCTAGAAGGGAGGGGATTGGTAATGCTAGCTAGAGAGAGAGGAGGCACTTGCAGGAACAGGGCTCCTGAGAAAGGTAGAGGGAGGGGACCCAGAGCACAGGGAGAAGGCCTGAGCTTTGGCAGAAGCAGGGTGCTTCCTCAGGAGTACCAGCAAGTAGCTGGTGAGTGGGTGGGTGCAGGTAGGTGGGCAGGTCTCTTGGAGGCAACACCAATACCCCATCTTACTGATTTTTCTTTTCCACGGAAGGAAGTGAGCAGGTCCTCAGCTGTGAATGAAGGATGGGAGGGGGTAGCAGGGTTGAGGAACAACAAGAAAGTATCTTGTGGCTGATACACTTCAGGGCCAGTGAATCTTTATTGATATAAAGCAATGCCAGTCACCAGCTTTAGCGTGCAGAGGGAATCCCCCGGGGGTGCTTGTTAAAATGTAGATTCAGGGATTCTTATCTCAGAGTCTGACTCAGGAGGCCCATGCAAGAGCCCAGAAACCTGCCTTTTTAGCAAGGGTCCCAGGTGGGACTCTGATGCAGACAGCAGACTGTAGTTTGAGAATCACTGAAAAAATGTATGTGAACAATAAAAATGAAATGTATGTGAACATAGCCCCACTGATAGGAGGTACTTGGGATGTGATAAGAGGCAGTTCTTTCCAACAGACCATACCTCAGGCATGGTTTTGTTCTTCATTTCACAAATAATCAAGACCAGTTGTCTTTTGTTTTTAGGAAAAATAAATGAATGTTCTCTGGTTAAAAAACAACTAAACATCAATATATACCTTTCTTTCCAGGGGAAAGAGCAGACTGTGGCACAACCAGGTAAGAGCTGGGCATCTTGTTTTGTCTCACCTGCTACCCTGCGGTGGGAGGGGAGGAAGTGGGAGGAGTAGGAGAGGAGGGGAGGGGAAGGTGGAAAACAGACACTGCTGAGAGCTCAGATGGGCTGGGGTTTCTGAGAGCGGGCCAGCTCTTCCCCACTGTCTCGAGGGGATGGTGTTTTTGTGGCTGTTCTGCTGGTTCTAGCCTTAGATGGAAGCCATGCCCCCGCCAGGCTGGTGATGGGGAGGGTGCTTTCAGAGCTGCTATGGGTCAGTGGGGTACCCCCCACTCCATGGCACTGGCCATCCAGTGGGACAGTAATATGTATTGCAGTGGCTGAGGACAACCGGTAGAGGCCAGAGGCTGTGCGGTAGCGGTTGACTTGTCTTCCTATCTGTTATATGGCTGTTGAGCAAACTGCCCAGCTGAGCTGGGGGGCCCAGCCTAGGGTCCCCATTTGCCAAGGCTTTGGATTTGGCTGGAATTGCACACATCTGGACATATGCATGCGCATACCCACATAAGCGTGCGCAGACGCCCCGAACCCTGGCTTTGGACCTCACCCGCACTTGGATGGGGAGTCCCTCGTTGGGAAAATAACAAACGGGCAACTCTGCTTTCTCTCCAGCTTGCTCAGCATTACCCTTTGCGCTTTCCCCTGAGCAGACCAGAGCCAGTGAACACTTTCCACTCAGCAGCTGGTAGCTGACGGCTGACTTCAGCGACTGGACCATTCCTCCACTTTCCGAGTTTAGATCCATAAGCAGGCCTGTCATTGCCCAGGTTGTTCTTAGAGCCCGTCTGTTCCGAGCTCCCAGCAATAGCTCTCCTACTGCCCAACATGCATTCAGCCATGACCCAGAGGCCTGCCCTTTTCCATCAGGTGCCTCATCCTGGGCCAGGTGACCTGATCACATCCTTCCCCACAAATTCTTCCCTGTGACCCAGAATCCTGGAAAGCTGTTGTACTTGGCAGGAGGGAGGATGAACCCTGCACTCTCTCCTCATCTGGAAGGGAATTGGCTGGGAAGAGGCTTGGAAAGCCCTGGGGTTTTCAATTTGCCAGGCCCAGGATGGCGGAGACTGAGGGCGTCCAGAAGCTTAGCCTGTGCAACTGTCCCTCTGGGAACATCTGGATGATTCATTATGCCAGGCGAGGACCTCTGGCACACGGGTCAGCAGATGTGCAGGGTCACTTTCTAAGAAACTTTTAGAAACAGACCCTTTATTTATTTATGTACTTATTTATTTATTCTGGCAAGAGGGTGTTATCTTAGTCCCAAAACAACAGAAGCCACATTTTACACCAAAATTTGCAAATGGTGAAACAGATGGGGGATGAATTGAACTGTTTCTCACTTCCTGTGAATTCCTAGAATTTACGTGGGAGAAGATTGTTCCAGCAGGTTGCAGGAGAGGGCTGTCATCAGTCCTTGGCCAGGTCCCAAGATCTACCTCAGAGAAAAGTTGAGGGTTTTTTATTATTTTTTATTTGGGGGTGGGGGAATATTTTGTTTTTTAATAAAGCCCACCAAGATGTTGTCTTCCATACCCTCTTTGACCTAGCGCCTGGGAAACCCAAGTTAGGATTACTAGGCCTCCCACTTAGACACATTGCACTATATTGAAAACCCAACCGTCTGCGCCAGGGGTCCTCGAGGGCCACATGCAAATACAAATATTGTATTTGTTCCTGTTTTGTTTTTTTACTTCAAAATAAGATATGTGCAGTGTGCATAGGAATTTGTTCATAGTTTTTTTTAAACTATAGTCCGGCCCTCCAATGGTCTGAGGGACAGTGAACTGGCCCCCTGTTTAAAAAGTTTGAGGACCCCTGGTCTGCGCTCTGGTCCTTGGCCAAGGTCAAAGGCAAATTTGTTAGTAAACTAAAAGCTTCCCCTTACTCTCACAAATCATTTTTAACTTATTGTGCAATGAACTGTCAACTTGGTAATGATTTTTAAGTTCATCTGAAAGGCCCTGGGTGAGATGTTTCTATACTGTGGCTCTCTGTATTTCCTATGGTTTCCTGCCCAAGGTCAGTGTCGCTGTGGATAATCATTTGAGCAGGTCCCCTCAGCCAAGTCACAGCTGGCCTTGTATAGATAGACCAGTTTTTGCACATGAGCTTTTTCTCATACTTAAGAACCTTATCTTATGATAGCCCAAATTCATAATAGCCCTGTAATTTAGGCTGAACAGACACAATAATGCATTTGAAAAGTGTATGGTAAATGTCAAAGCCAGATGCAAGTGTAAGGTTTGATCATTCAAACTAAAGACTGTCTTCCCTAATCCAGGTCGATTTGCCCCTATGGTCTGGATTAGAGGTGAAATCACTGGAGATTTCTGTCCAAACAGATACAACCCAATGAACACCCATGCACAGCCTCCAAGAACCTGACCACCATTGGACTGCAATATTTGGACATTGTATTGGGGAAGACTCTAATCACCATCCTTTTGGTCACAGTAATTTTGAGGCCAAGTGCTGTGTTGCCAACATATGTTAATTTTCATCTTGGTTGAAAGGCAGAAAGGGGACATTGGTCTCTGGTTTCTCTATCTTCCTCTCTGTGGCTTTCTCTGTTCCTGTTTTCCCTGCCTCTCTTTCTTTCTTTCCTTTTTGCTCTGCAACTGAGCAGCAGAAGAGATGGAAGGCTTAGGCTGCCCCACTTTCCTTGGCTGAGCTGCCCCCCTGCTCCCCACTTTGTGCCCCACCCAGCATTTCAGTAAGTCGGTATCTATTTGATGTCATGCAAAGTTGGGATAGCTACGTTTCCTTGTCAGATTCCAGTCAGTGCACAGAGCACCACACAAAGAAAGAAATCCCTATGATTCCAACAGTCCTTTGTTTTCTTGGATTTTTATAGGAGAAATGGGGAAAAGTATCCTATTTGCCCTTTATTCCATTTTATCAACTTAAAGGAAAAAAAATCCTTAGGACTTATTTTAAGGGAATCCACCAGCTGGGCACCAGGATATTTTGATATGGGGTGTCCAACACTGGCATTAAGAGTCTCTACTCTCGCTGGCCATGGGAGTTAATAGATAATTTAGTGCTACTGCTGAATGTTCTGTGATCAGATCAGTTTCCCAATTTTGCACTCACACATGAACCTGGAGTAGGAAGAGCTGACTTCTATTCATTCCCATGACCATGGGCAAGTTTCTTAATCTCTCATCAGCTAATTTGCCTTATGTCTAACGTGGTTTTAATAATTCTTACCTAACTCACAGCATTGTTGTGAGGGTATAATGCCATGTGAGATAAGGAAATGATCTGACAACGTTCAAAAACAGAAACCCAAAACACTATGAGGACAAGTTAGCAAAGTTGCTATCCTCAAGTTATTCTAAATTTCAAGACTTGAAACCTATGGCCCTGTGTCACATTTTTTGCCACTCTGTTTTGGAATTTGGAAATTAAAAAGCAGATGTGTTTTAAGAAATACCAGCCCTATATACCCACGTCCTTAAAAATAAATAACTTACAAAACAGAAATGACATGGACTTAGCTAACCAAATTAACAAAAGATCCAAGATGGGCTTGAAATAATTTTGCCTGTTGTTTCTTTTCAAAATTTTTTGTCTGTGCTGTTATTTTGGTTCCAATGTTTGGGTGGCATGATATTTGGATTCAGCTGTGTCTTTGCCCATGCATGTCCTGGAGCTAGCAGCATTTGCTCAATACTCAAACGCCGAGAAGTTGGTTAGTGCTTCTAGGATGGCTGGGCTATTGAGGAGACACGCACAAGGCCAATGGGCAGAGGCAGCATGACTCTTGTTCACCTGGATTGGCTCCAAAGCTCGTACGATTTCTTGCCCATTTACAGAACTCAATCAAGACCTGGGGACCAGGTCTTGGCTCATCCTGTGTGGACATTATCTGTACCTGGCTGGGTCCCTACTTGTTGTTTCCCAAATTGTGAACCAAGCCATTTGAAAATGAACTGCCTCTTTTGATGTGGGGGGGACTCCTCCTAACCTCAGAGCCCTTTGCCCTGGAAGGCTGGCAGCATGAGTCAGGCCAACTTGGGTGGCGAAGATGAGCAAATAAGCCAACCCAGGCATATGCATGGTGAGCAACTCTGGAAACTAGTCCAGTGTTTGTGGCTGTTTCACTGCTCCTGGTGAACTGTGTTGCTGTTTCCCTCCCTGTGGCCAAGAGTGGAGCACAGGGACTGGAGATCCTAAAGCAAAGCAAGACACTTTCAACCTGACCCTACGGGTCCTCCACTGGCAAGGGTTAATGGGAGGGGCGAGTCCTTGGCTGGAAATGAAGAAGTGCCCTAAGGCTCCATGACTGCCTCGGTGGGGAAAATCTTGGATTTGGAGCTAAAGAGACCTGGGTTTGGGGCCTGGCTCTGCCAGTTCCCCTCTCTAGGTCTGTCTTTGCCTCTTTAAAAGGAGGCCATACGTACAGGATTGAGCTGACGTTAAGCGTGGTAATGGAGTTGAAAGCGCTGTAATCGAAGTGTACTTGACTGAAGGACAAGATATGATCATCATCCTGGTCACCCCAGGACCCCAAAGAAACTGCAGCCTCCCTCTTGGCATCAGTTTCTTCATCTCTAAAATGAGAATGATAATTGCCTGGCTCTTAGATCAATGGAATAAAAATTAGTCAAGTGCATTTGAAATGCCAAGAGGCATTAGGAAGATCAGTGCCCTGGTACGTTGGGAGTTGAGACCTGGTGATACATTTAAGCCAAAATAATGAAAATTAACCCTTCCAATCATCTTTGGAAGTCTCTTGCTTTCTCGGGCTACAGATTCCATCTCTCCCGAGTCCCCCTCCATGTGGTCAGCTTTGCAGGATGACAGCCTCTGATGGAGGTTCAGTGGTTTCCCAGACGCTTACTATCTCCCGGCTATGATTTAGAAAGCATTTGTGTTACACGATTGTTGCTCCCGCCTGACATCGGGGTAAATTAAGATCCCCTAAACATCCAAAGGCCTTCCGATGGAGCATTGGACGCCACTGTGCAGGGGTTCAGGGGCTTCCATCTGCATTTTGTGTTCTCCTCTGGTCGTGGGTTTTAAAAGCGTCTTTCCCAGTTGTATGTTTACATTGGTTACTTTCTTGATTTCTTTTGTTCCGTTTTCCCCTAGGCCCCCCTGTCTTCCCCCTAAACCACAGAAAATGAGGAGACCTAGGCCTCTCTCAGTGTGTAACCATAAACTATTTAACGGCTGTATGGAAGCGTTCATTAAGGTACTTGTTGGGAGCCGCAGAGTCCGCGAATATGCCCAATGTAACGGCAGCCTTTCTCCACCTCCTCCCCTTGGCCAGCAGCCCTGCCCCCACCTACCAGAACTTTCCATCTGTGCCCTTTGCCAGGCCCTATGGCGAACTAGTTCCTTCCTGCAGCCTGCGCTTAGCTTCAGTGAGGGCTTCTAATCAGAGCTGCTTTTGTCTCTAACCAATGCCTTGCTGTGATTCTCAGGGGTAAGATCACGGTGAAGTCCATGTGGGGCTGAGATGCCAGCACGGTGGTCCCTGCCAGCCCCATGCCGTTGCTCCGGAACTGTGGTCCTCACTAGCTGAAGGGACAGTCAGATAAACCCCTGCCTCGCTTCACACCCACGTCTCCTAAGAAGAGCTTGGTTGGAAGCAACACAGAGAAAATCCCTGCGGGCAACAGTGTGATTTCATTTTTTTTGGTCAAGACTATACCAGCAAAGGAAACATAAAATCTGGGTGACAGAACACCCTCCTACCCAGTTTTGCTTCTTATTAGGTGGTTTGGGAGAAGGGAGAAGAGCTGAGGCAGTTCCCTTAGAATTCCCGGTTAACCCTTTACACCTTAAACAAAAAACAAAAGCGGTTCAACTAGGTGAGTTTCGCTTGCCTTTCTTGCTTCTTGGACGCAAAGGGTGCAGGATCAAGCCACCTGATGGAATGACTTGGGCAAATTCAGCTGGTGGTGGAGTTGAAAGGACAGCAGGTGGGGAAAGACTGAGGAAGTGGAGAATCACTCTTAGCATTAGCCAAGGGGAGCAAGAGAGAAGGTCCCTGCCAGTTACTTCAGAGCTCACCACCATCCAATGGAGACACTTTCTGCAGAAAAGGCTGGTGTCCAACAGGGGAAAGTACGGCTCTTGGGCTTTGCTGACAGTTTGGGGTAGTGGAGGCTCCCCTGCTCTGCCCTCTATCTTCCATCCTCAAGGTGCACCCAGGACTTGCAGAAGGGTGGGGCGCAGGATGCCTTGATCTCAGGACTGTCTCTGCCTGGGAGCTGAGTTCTGGGGAAAGGACAGTGGGGCACAAGTGAGACTGCCCAAGTGGGGAGCAGCAGGGGCTGCTTCAGGGTACCTCAGAGGAGTGAGGCATGGAGTCCCAAAAGGTGGGGTGCTGTAGGGTGCATCAGGAAAGAGGTCCTATTTGGAGGTGTCCCTGAGTGAGCACTCTGCCATCTCATAGGTCACAGGAGGATGAGGCTGTGTCAAAAGGGTCCTTCTTTCTTCAGCCTCCCTCCTTTGCCAAGACTGCACCCGGCACCTCCGAAAAGGCCCTCTCCGTAGCTGAGCAGGGCTGAAACGCGTGTAAACTCTTCTCCCTGCCCTCCAGGAGCTTAAAGTGTCAGTCAGGAGGATTTCCACACAGAAAGCTGTAAGTGTAAGGCGATTCAGATGAGCACTTGGTGAATTATCCCCATGGAAACAAGCTCTGTGCAAGCTCAGAGCAAGGAGAGCTGTGCTCTACAGGGCATGGAGGCTTGGGGAGGAGGTAGGGCTTTGAAAGGAGGGTAGGACAGAGGAGTCCCTGAAAGGAGAAACAGAATAACAAAGGCTCAGAGACAGGGATGCCTTCTCCACTTTGCTCAGCTCTTTGGAAATGGGCGATGAGTGAGGACACGGAAGGAGCTGGTGCTTACCTGGCAGGATTGGAAAGTTAAGTGTTCTGTCTGAAGAAATAGTCTCTCCGTAGGCAGCTCCTACATAATGTGAGACCACCCAGTCATCCTACTTTATTCCTCCTGACAAACACATCAGAACTTCTCCAGCCACCTGAGAGTTTGCCCCTTGGAGGTGGCCACCCTGGGCAGCTACATTCTCATTCTAATGGTATGGTATTGCTTCAGCTGGCCAGTCTTCCTCAGAGCCTGCAGCATGGCCTTTGTCAGTGGTGCCAAACTTTGCGTTAGGATGGACACCCTGGTCTTTCAAAGCTCGGCTTTGCAATGCCACTGGAGGTACAAAATGGCAAGAAGCACATGCCAGGGTGGGCTCGTGGACTGGTTCTGAAAAGACCCCCCAAAGAGGGACACCCCAGAGCACTGATCCAGGGCACAGCCTCCTCAGGGGACTATTTGACTGAAAAAGAAAGAGATATGTTTAATGATTACATTTCTGTATAGTTACACTGTATTTATGCCACATACTGACAGTGCAGTTCAGCGAACTCCTGAGCACCTGCTGTGAGAGAGGCAGTGTGTAGACAAGCTTGCATGCAGCATGGTCTTACTCTCAAGGATTATTAACTTTCAGAGAATGAAAGGGCAGTGTAACATGGTCAATTCTTCACCTTCTGAACAGAATTTAACTCTCTCTTATGATTCACATGCTATCTGGAAGAACATTCTGCATGGACTAAGAACCCCGAGCTTTGAAATGCCAAACCTGTGAAAGGCTTTCCAATAAAATAACATCACAGGGACCCCATGATTACGATGGTTTGCAGGGTGGAAAATGTCCGGCCTGCGGCCATATCATTTGGTCTGGCCCTGCCAAAGCAACTGCAGATGGGACTCGAAATTCAATGAATCTAGGAGCATAGATACTTTTTCATAGCAACATAATTTTTAAGTTGATAATTTTGTATGGCCCACAAATAATGTTATAAATATCCAAATGGCCCTTGGCAGAAAAAAAGGTTCCCCAGGCCTGGTTTTGAGGGACAAGGAAGCATCCCCAAGTTAAAAAGGACAGATAAATTTTGCTGGAGTTATATAATACATTTCTAGAGCCCTACCTTTTTGAATTGACCTTTTTCAGAATCCTTGATTTTTTTTCTCCTCTCAGATAGAAAGAAACCCATTTTTATTACAAAATTTGAAGCCTGGGAGGTCTGCCCCTGGGCAGAGGGGGAGTCCTCACCCTGTATCTATAAAACCCTGTTTCTATAATTACCTGCCTCACAGTGTGTGATACTATTAACACAAATGAGCTGAGAGACGTCATTTTTGCAAAGCACCGCCCAGCACCCAGTGAGCCCTGTGCACGTGTTGGCTGTTATTGTTGTCATTAGCTGTTAGGAGATTGCACACAGAGCCCCATCTGACCAGGCTGTTTGCTCAGTTCTGGGAGGCAGGTGGGTTTAGCCAACATATAATTCCAGTTGTTGAGATGCCGGCGACTGGACAGATGACACCCGCTAGCCGATGCACATTCTCCAGTTTCTTAGTTCGGCTCCTCAGAAGCCTGGATGGGACACAGCACCTCCCCAGCACCTGACTGCTGCACTTATGGGGGGGAAGAGCGTGCTCCCCTGAAAAGGGGCGGCTCAGTGGCCTTAGTGAAAGCACAGGCAAGACTGGGAAGGCATTCTGACTCTGCTGCCCTCCCTCCCCCAGCCTCTCTCAGCTTTGGGTTCCCTGAGGTGTTCTCAGTGCTAGGGTGAGGGTGTAGGGCAGAAAGGGAACTAAGCCCCGTGGCTACCCAGGCTGTTTGGTAGGAAAGCACGGGAAGCTGTTGGAGTTTGGAATCAGGCAGAATCCTGTTGGGAGCCATCCAAAGGGCACGTGATACACATGATCTTGGTAAAATTCGCTTTTTCCCAGGAATGAGCTTTCCTGGGCTGAATTCCAGGGGCAGCGTTGCAGGTGTGTGGGTAGCTGGGCTCTTGCCCACTAGTGAATAATGAGCCCCTGTGTTGAGAAGCCAGGGACGGGATGAGGAAAGGGCTCAGTGCACGCTGCTCCTCCACTCTGACAAGGACTGAAAGCCCCTCTGCCACCTGGTGTCCAAGACAGCAACGCTGAAAGGAACTCCCACGAGGCCCCGAGATGCAGGGAACCCCGCCCCACGCAGGCTGGCTGGCAGGCCCCCCGGACCTTTGCTGGCTGCCCTTGCATTTGGGCGTTCACGGACTCTGAAGGATCTGCTCACTCTAACTGGTCTTACTCCTGCATAATCTTTTCTTTTTCTCCTGCTCTGCTGCCTGTTTATTTTTTGTTATCAGAGGAAGAAGAAATGCTCGAACCAGGAACCAGGTACTTACTAGAAAGGTCCGGTAGCCCCCTTCAACTGGAGAAACCTGTCTGTAGTGCTGACGTTAGAACAGGGCCCGCCTTGCCTGTCGCCAGTGGGTCTGTGCTGTTATTCCCTCCCTGAGCAGTCAGTCAAGGAGAGAGTTCCCAGGTGGGGTACGGAGGAGCCACGAAAGCATCCGAATGCCCTTCACAAGAGCATATTGCAAATGCCTTACTGTTTCCTCACTGTCTGAGGAGGCTGGTCATTTAATATGACCCCTTTTAAAGAGAGTTTAAAAAATATTAAGTGCTCTTTCATGACCTGAAATAGCAGAGAGGCCAACCAATCACAGAATTCAAAAGAAAATTACCCCTTGCCCAGCCCTTGGTGGCCATGGGCCAGTCTAGGAAGATGTAATTGAAAATACATTCACACCCCAGATGCCTATGTTTAGAATTGCATCTTAGTCAGCCTGTTTGACTAAAGTTGGCCACTCAGTGGTCAAGGGCTGACTTACTATTTCTAGAACCTTTGTTTATAACACTGCTAAACAAGTATCTGTCTGGGTGTTTAGGTTGTAACATCCTGAGTGGAACTGGTCTTCCCTTCTCAGAGCTCAAAAGGCCCCTGGGTCCAGCCTGGCCTCTCCCATAGTGCGTTCTTCTTAATTCCGGCATCGGGTACCGCAGTCCTGGGAGGAGGCCTTGGTCCTGCTTTCTCATCCCTGAGCCCTGGGAGAATAGCTTGAGTTGGGGCAAAGTGGAGTGGGCGGCAGAGAACCCTGCAAGAGCCGAGTCCAGCCCCTCCACCCAGTGGGTTCCCCCCCTTCCAGAGTGCCTATCAGGCCTCCTGGGCCCTGATTCCTTCCCAGCGGAGTGAGAAGACAGAGCATTTCTCTAAAATTATCATAGCTATGCCTTTTTTTGCACTTAACTGAAGACTTTCTATTTTAACTGTTTGTGGAGCCTTTAGGATTAGCAATTCCTTGCTTGTTTTCCTACTAATCTGATGGCACTAATATTCTGGCTTGAGTTTATAATCTGTGTTTGCAATGTCTGTTCTCCCATGGTGGTTGCCAAGCCCAATAAAACTCACAAATTTTTTTCTTAAGGATTCTGGACAAGCTATCCCGCTGGTAGTTGAGAGCTGCATCCGATACATCAATTTATACGGTAAGCTCAATCATGGGGCAGTGTTTTCAGCTCTTTCCAGAGCAGGTGCTAGGCTTTTCTCAAAGGAAATGGATTCTAATTCATCTGGAAGACTTCCTGTCACTGCTCTGCTTCCAAGGGGAGATGCTCCGCAGAACAGCTGCCTTTCTGAGTGCTATCTTTTGAGCCTTGTGTGTCAGGGATAGAAAGACCCAGGAACTAGGAAAACCGAGGAGCAGGGAGGGCATGGACTGGAGAACCATCTTAGCTCCTTCCTCACTCCCACCCGACCCCAGAGCTCTGTGCTTTGAGCACTGAATGCAGCTGGTGTCAGTCAGTTAATACTGCAAGTGTGTAGTAAGCTCCATGAAGGAAACACAGTGTCTGGGATTTGCTAACCACGGTATCCTCAGCACTTAACTCGTGCTTTCATCGATTGATTTATTCATTCCTCCAAAAATATTTTTTTCAGAGTACATAGTAGGCACTGTTTGGACAATGGGAATATAGATACCAGCCAATATAACATAGCTTATATTACCAATTAGAAAGTCAAGGAAATAAACAAGCAGAGAAATAAACATTAATTTCAAGCAGCAATAATGCCTAAAAACTAATGAAGAAGGAATACAAATGACTGGAGCAGGGCAGGGCTGGTTTGGCTAAGGTGGTGAGGAGAGACCTCTCCCAGAGAGTAATTAAGACTCCAGGGCCCTTTAAGACTCCAGTGAGTAGAGGAAGCCAGCCATGCAGTCCAGATGGAGAGAAAGACAAGTGTAAAGGCCAAATATGGGATGAAGGCCAATGTGACTGGACAAGTGGGCCAGTGACATAGGGGGTAGAAAGTCAGTATTGGTTAACGAAAGAAATAAACAAGCGTCTGTCGAGCAAATGCTTTGTACAAACCAAACTTTGACAAAAGCCTACCTTTTAAGAGTAAACTCTTTCCTAAATTATAATGTGGAGAGTTGTCTTATATAGGAAAACTGAATCCAGGAAAAGGATCAGAGTATCCTCCATTAATTCCCATTTAAAAGGAGGGAGGTCTTTCAATTCCCTCAACCCTATGGGTTGCTGTATGTCATTACTGTTAAGGCAGGTATTAGGGTCTCCTTTGTTTTGGCCTTGTAGAAACGCTTGAGAAAAATGAGACTGTTTTTTTTTAATGATGTAATCTCTTCTAAATTTCTTGATACCAGGGCAGCATGTACTTTAGAATCTAGCTTTTCTTGAAGGAAGGAAATGTCTGTGTTAGGGGAGGGAGGGCTGAGGCAGTGGATTTAATCCTTGTTCAAAATCTCTGAGGCTATTTCACTCAAATGGCATTTATAAACTCAAGCCAAGCTCCTTGGTGCCAGTGCAACTGGTAAACTCAGTAGCCATGGCACCAACCAGTTATTTGCCTGAGCTGATTTATTGGTTAAATTGGAAGTTATTCATTGATCCAGTCTTGATATAAACTTCTCGTGGCCTTTTCCTCCAAACCCAGACAAGAGACACAGACATATGAAGCAGGATGTGTCTGAGTATTCTGGTCAGCCATACTTCATTTCAAAGGTTATTTTGGGTTTCTACCAGGACACCTTCATTGGGGGAATGACTCTCTTACAAAGGATGGTGGGAGAAAGAGACAGCAGTGGGGTGAGTCATCAAAGTTCCCAGTGGTCTGATGAGATCAAGGCCTTATTGGAATTTTTCTCTTTCTTTCTTTTTTGTTTGTTTGTTTTTTCTTATAGGACTCCAGCAGCAAGGGATCTTCCGAGTGCCAGGATCTCAGGTTGAAGTCAATGACATCAAAAATTCCTTTGAGAGAGGTAGGTGCAGAGTGACCATTTCAAGCGTGTGGCCAGGGGAAGCCAAGGTGGGTGTTAGCACATGTCTTAGAGCCAGTGGTGTGCAGTGACTCCACATTGGTAGCTTGAAATCAGCCATGGTGGGAGTATTTACACCACGGAAATTGGCAAACACAAAGATCTTTTATTTTTATTTTTCTCCTCCAACAAGCTAGCTGTTAAGCATTTACTAGCACACATGGGTGGCTTTTTCTGGTGGGCCATACAGTGGTTGCTGGGAAAGAGGGCCTTGTAAAGCTCTCTGGAATGATTGTGTGAGTCTGCAAAGGCTGCTATGTTTTACAAACATTGGAAGAACATAGATAACACCGAGTGGCTTTTAGAATATCCTAATTCTTAATTTTCTATGTAGTGTTTTTGGCAAAACTACACATTGGGAGGAAGAAACTATACATTCCTCCCACCCTCAGTGAGGTTATCTACTTCTCACTTTGATTAATCAAGGGTGTAAAGCTTATTAGAAATGAAGTGACTGTCACAATGGGAGCACATGTGGCTTGTTTGGTGTAACCTCCCTTGGCCTCGGATTCCTGATGGGGACAGATAGATGGCCAGTGACAGTGTCCATGCAAAGTGAGGATTCATTGGGTCAGGAGTTCAATTCTTAACCCACCTCTGCTTTTTACACTAGGTGCTTATCTCACATCCTAAATAATATCTTTGCCTCCAGTTCACCACCATTTTGGAAGAATAACATCTCCACAGTCTACTCCTCTTAACTCTCACTTACTGCCTTTTTCTCTGAGTGGTTCTGATATTAAGTTTGATCCGAGGCCCCCAATCTCAAACCCATTTCCCCACAATAGAGCACATCCCAACTTTTTCTTTTTGGTGTACAGGATGACGCTCCAACCAACTGAGCCACCCAATTTACAAAGCACTTTCTTACCCATTGTTCTAACAGCCTTGGGAGATGTACGGTTTATCCCCATTGGCTGTGCTCTGGACAGGCCTCCCCTGGGGTTCCGGCCCTAGAATTCTCCCTCCTGTGCACACTCATCCCCTCCCTAACTTCCCAGTTCCATCCTGAGGTTTAGCTCAGGGTGGAGAAAGCATTCTTTCAGCTCCAGGTGGTCACCACCATAGCCTGCAGCACAGCCCTGGGAGATGTACGGTTTATCCCCATTGGCTGTGCTCTGGACAGGCCTCCCCTGGGGTTCTGGCCCTAGAATTCTCCCTACTTATTACGGAGCTTCCCCTGGAGGGGCTGCCTCCTGTGCACACTCATCCCCTCCCTAACTTCCCAGTTCCATCCTGAGGTCTAGCTCAGGGTGGAGAAAGCATTCTGTCAGCTCCGGGTGGTCACCATCATAGCCTGCAGCACAGCCCTCTGAGGCCCTAGGCACTCTGACTTGGAGCCAGGGGATTCCACACCCTGGGAACAGCATGTACAGAGGCCACAAAGCAAGAGGTCTCCCCATCAGCATCCCTGATGGAAGTGTTATTCATCATTCCCTGAGCTTCTCTTGACCACACTGGACAGCACAGTCCAGAGCTTTGTTTCTTCATTTCCCCAGCTCCTTAGCACCCCTGCTGCCCTGTGTTCATTGTAAACAAATAGATATGGTCAGGAACCTTTGCTGGTCCCATCTTCCTGGGCTCATCCCATTATAGAGAATTCCTTGAATCTCATGGGTAAACTCACTGCATTTTCCTGCTTCCCCATGTCCTGTAAGTAACCTCACTGTACCAGGCAGCCAGGCCCTATCCCCACCCCAGAAGCACTGCCTTCATTCCTTCTTGGATGTGGTTTTTCTAAGTGTAACACCTTCTGTCACTTGCTTGGGTGCCTTGCAGGGGTGATATGAAATTTATAAGGACTCTCTGCTCCTAACAAGCCTTAGATCACCCCCGGCAAAGCCCTGGAGGGCAGAGATCACCTGACCCAAATCTCTGCCGCAAAGAATACCTTCTGCTTTTCCTTTGCTATGCGGTTGGCTCCTTTCCCTCTCTCCACCATTCCCAAGTGAATCTCATTCTCTCGCCAGCCTGAGGCTACAGTGAAGCATGGCTAATTCCAGAAGAATCATTCTTGGTATGTCTCTTTTAAGAAAAATCCATTCCTGGCTTCTTTGGGCTGACTAGTGCCCAGATTTCTCACTTATTCTTTTCTCTTTCTTGACATTCACCAACCAACTACCCTGGGTTAGGCTCCTCACCCAGCTGACCCTCAGGGGCACCCTTCCCACCTCTCCTGAAAACCCACTGTGTTTCTCCCCCTGTCCTCCCACCCCCACTCCTAACAACAGCCAGGTGGCCTGAGCTTGCTCCGGGCTCAGCATTTCTTTTCTCACCCACTCTCCACGGCCTACATGCTCAAACGTGTGACAGAACTTTCTTTCCAAACCAGGACATTGTGTGTTTTTCCTTCCTTTCTTTTATTTTGTGAAATTTCAATCCCCGGCGCCTGCAGGGTTCCTGACCTTCACCACTTGCTCAGAGAGCTGGTCTTCCCTTCTCTGGAGCAGATGGTCTCGCCCACGTTTCCTGTACGGGGCGGTAGAAAGCACCAGTCTCTTTTCCTTAATCTTCTGGACAGACATGCTTGGTTTACTATTTCTAAACCCATTTTCTTATTCTTCTGACACAAGTCAACCGGGGTTTGAGTTGAGGTTATTATTCTTCTCCTCTTTATTGCTGTCAATAAATCTTAGACTCACTTCTCCAGTGTTAAGATCTTCCTGTCATCTTCTGGCAAAATGAAGGAGAGAACATTAGGGAAAGACAGGACTGGGCAGCTGGGCCTGGGGGAGAGCCGAGGCTTGCTGTTGTCTCCCAGGCCAGTTCTCCATCTCTGTTTTCCCCACAAACCAATCCACATCCTCTTTATACATCAAGGTGAGGGGGCTGCCAGGTCTCTCCTGTGTGGAGGGGAAGGGACCCAGTGACCCTTTCGCCCTGCACCATCAAGACGGGGTTTGGACTCGTAGCCTGCATGGCTGACACATCCTGGCCTCAGCCTGGCCCCCCCAATACTATTTCCTGCCCCAGGAGGAGGGGTATGACCAGGAGACGTAGGAGGGGCTGTCGTGTTGAGGAGCCTCGGGAGGGGCATGTGTGGCCCTGTGGCTACAGAGAACTGCCCTGTGAGAGAGACTTCCTGCACCTTTCTGCCGTGCAGGTCCCACAGCAGGGCCCTCTGGAGCCTTAAGCACACACTGTGTGTTCATACCCTGCCCTGGACACAGCCCTGCCTTAACTTCCAGGTGACCTGGCTAAGAGTACACGATAGGCAGGGCCATTTTGTTAACCATTCTAGCTCCCCCAGGACATACACTAGCTAAGTGTGAGCACAGCTTCTCTCGACCTGCCTGACATTTTAGCTGTCATTGTCCTCCTGAGGAAGCCAGCATGCACACGAACCTGCTCACCTCGAGTTCTGGAATTCCATTCATTTCCGGAAGCAGAAGTGACTAGTTGCGGAGAGCCAAAGGCCTAGGCTAGGAGGGAGGAATTTCTGGACAGCTCCTTTTATGGACTGAGTTGTGTTCTGGGAGTCAGAGCAAGAGTGAATGTTGTGTGTGTGTACAAAGTCAGTGCGTTAATCATGCTTAACAAGGGGAGCTAATATGGAGACATGTGAGCTCACTTGTGCATCATGAAAACACAGGAGCAATGTGTGGTAAATATAAGGAAACAGTTTAATATAGTGCAGAGTTTTAGAATGCATGTGGTCCTTCAGTGGGCCCAAGGGCTGCTACTGGGAGAGGGAGACTGAAGAGATAGGCTTGGACCTCTCCCCCTATTCAATTAAGACAGTTCTGTTCTATATGTTAAATACTCATAGGAACTGTTTTCTTAAAAGAAAGAAAAAGATTAGGATTCTACTATAGAGGAAGGAGGGAGGGAGGAATGGAGAGAAGAAAGGAAGGGAGGGAGGGAGGGAAGGAAAGAGGGAGGAAAGGGAGCAGGGAGGGGATAGAAGGAAGGGAAGGAGGAAGGGAGGGAGGGAGGAGAAGGTAGGGGAAGGGAGGGGAGGGAATAGAAAGAAGGGAGGGAGGGAGGCAGGCAGAATTGAAAAGGTGGAAGAAGGGCTATCTCCCAGGCAGTACGAGGTCTGGGAGAGGCTAGTGTCTGGTTTTGACTTCATGAGGGTGGGAAAGTTGTTTCACTTGCTGAGGCCTCAGCTTTCTCCCAGGAGAGAATGGTGGTGTTGGAACCACGCCCCCCTGGTGCCCTGCAATGCAGTTTGAGGATTAGAGATCCCGTGTGCAAATGTGCTACATCAGCACAGGCAGTGATTGTTTCATGCTTTTTCTCTTCCTTCCCCATGAGAAAGTCTTGTGGGGAGCATTCTCTCTCTTCCCGTGGGGACATCTGAGAGCTCGACCTGTGGAAGGAGCAGCAGTGTCCTGGCCGCCACATTTGGTCATGCAGGTTGGGCACTGCACAGGGGTGCTCAGCCAAGAGGGCAGGAGGGAGGCGGCTCTGGCTCGTGCTCTATATGCCACAGCCCCAGTCCAGGAAGGAAGGGGGGCGTTCTCTGAATTGCACTACAGCACGTTGGGGCTCGCAGAGGCCCTGCAGTGACATGCATCCTCTTCCTACGGAGGCAGGGAAAAGAGAGCCAAGGACGAGTTTCCAGTTCTCCTCCTCATGGCTTGCCAGTCCTAGAGTGCTCTGGGCTGTCCTGGGAGGCGGGCCAGACACCATTGTGCAGACCTCTCGCAGCCCCTTCCAGAGGTGGCAGCTTGCTCCCTGCTTCCTCTCACCTACCCCACAGAAGCCCTCCTAGCTCAGCAGTTCCTGGTGTGAACTAGCTCAGTAGCCCCTGATTAAACTGGAAAGTGCTGCTCTCCTGAGAGATTATTTGCCCTGTCCAATTGGCAAAAACTCAGAAGGCTGACGCCTTTCCATGGGCAGGGCTGGGGGAAAAAGAAGCATTCTCCTGGGTTGCTAGTAGGAGTGTAAACTGTGCAGCCCCAGTGGAGAGAAAGTCGATATGGCAAAGTGAGTGAAAGTGAAGGGTGGTGGGTGGTCATTATTTCAATTTTACAACATTCCTCTAGGTTTGAACATTTACAGAATCAGTTGCAGGGGGAACTCTAAACTTGCTGTGTTGAGGAGGTCCCATCTGCCTGCTCCAGTTCAGCCTGGCCTGGGTCCTCTCTTCTGCCATCTGCATGGTCCCCGCCTCCTTATCATCACCCCTGTTTCCTCACAGGTGAAGACCCCCTTGTGGATGATCAAAATGAACGAGATATCAATTCCGTCGCTGGTGTTTTAAAACTGTATTTCCGAGGACTGGAAAACCCACTCTTTCCTAAGGAAAGATTTCAAGATTTGATATCTACTATTAGTAAGTATTTCCCAGGTGGGATGATCATTTTCTTGAGAAATCTTTATTGAGATTGCACTATGGGCTCATCACTGTGCTAGGTACACAGGGGGGACACTGTGAAAGAAGCAGTATGGCTCTTGTCCTCATAGAGCTTAAAACCTAGTTGTAGAAATAACAAGGTGGATTATAATGCAAGAGTTCGTGGGCATGGTACACCCCTGGGTATGGAAGGAGCTCAGAAGAGAAGAGAGGAAGACTTAGTATCCAGATCTTAGCTGAGAGTGATATGCATAGTGCAAGAGGCTGGAAGGGTGCAATGGAGCAAGAGGGGGAAGACCTTGAATGCCTTGCAAGGATTCCAGAGATTTTCCCTTTGGGAAATGGAGAGCCATGGAGGGTTGGGGAGTTCAGGTCAGCAATATGTCGAACAAGGGAAGTGCTGAAAATAAGTTGACTAGCATCTTCCTCTGACTCGCTAGCCATCAGAGTCCTCCTGGACTGATATGTCTGTGGATGAAGTGAGGAGTCCTGTCCAGGAGCTTGAAGTAAGGGCGCCTTCACTGCAAGATGCCAAAGCCCAAGGCAACTTTTTGGAATTATTTTTTTAAAAACTTTTAATATTAGAATATAGGAATTTTAGTATTTTGTAATAAACTCTTTAATATGATCGATAGAAAATTAGCCCACTGGGGATGCTTCTCACAGTGCTCTGAGAGAGATTTGCAGCCAAGCATGTGTCTCAGGAGGTGGTGACAGCTGCCTTGTGTAAAGGACCCTCTCCCCTGCCCCCTGCCCTCCACACTACTTGCTGCTCATCTTTCCAGACCCACTTCAAGCTCCAATTCAGCTCTCGGATATTCCAGGCCACAAAGGTCCCACCTTGTCTGAGCCCTGTGTCCCTTGCTCAGCCAGTGTTTCCAGTTCCCAAGCAAGGCCCTCAGCAGACAAGGTCGTTGACCTCCGGAACAAGCTCCTGGCATTGGATAAGTTGAATCACACCCGGAATCAGACAGTGAGAAAGAATGTCCCTTCTTAGTTTCTTCCCAAACCCTATGATTATTGACATCAAGGAGAACACCTCATGGGTCAATCTCCCTTCTACACAGAGAGACAGAATTTAGTCTCAGGAACTTTTGTAGAGAACCATGTCTACATATAACTTAGTAATATTGCTTTGCTTACATTGTATCTATTTTTATGTTACCTTCTAATTGTGGTAAGTGATCCAGGTTTCTCACTTATAGAGTGAGGTCAAGTCTCCTTTTTAAATAAATATTTTAAAGAAAAAAATTAATAAATAATAGTGGAGGTGATACTAGGGCACAGTGACTAGAAGCTGAGGATGTGGAGCAGCAGCGGATCAGTAAAGGTACAAGGGCCTTAACTTTGTGGGAAGACTTCGGTGAGGTTCCCTGGAGCCAGACCTTGGTAGTCTGCAGTGTGCCCGACAGGGAAGAGAGATCTACAGTGTGTGCAAAGGCCCAGGGACAGCCAGGTCCTTTGTGAGAGGGAGATGGTGGATAAAGTGGCCTGGCACAGAGTTTCTCAATGGGGAACTGTTGGCAGTGAGGGTAGAGCAGTACCTTGTGTGTTACCTACACTCAGGACACTTAGCACCTTGCCCCTGAATCCCAAATGCCGGTAGCACCCTCCAGTCTCTGACAACCTCAAAGAATGCCTCATATCTTTGTAAATTCCCCTAGAGGTACACTACTTATTTGAGAAGCGTAGCTCTAAATCATCCTCAGGTACTTTTCGAAGGGGCAGTGACTAGGAGATGGGTCATGCAAGGTTGGTTGAAGCCCTATCATAAAGAGCCTTGGATGCAGAGGAGAAACAGAAGAAGTGTTTTAGAAGAAGCATGTTGACAGATGTGGAGGCTGGAGGGAGGAGCTATATGAGAAAAAAAAAAGTGTTTTCTGAAAAAGAAACTGACATGGATTTGTGTATCAGCCCTGCAGATGAACGTCAGAGCTTCAGCAGCTCACTCTCCTGAATGCCAGCTTTCCCTTTCCACAAGGCAAAGTCCGCAAAGCACTTTTCTCTCCTTATCAAGCCCAATTTGCTGCTCCCATCCCTGGCCTGACTGATAAAAATACCAGTGTCTGTCTCCTAGGATTGACCTGAAAACAGAGGTCAGAGACGAGATCCCAAGCACCTGCCAGGCTCTTTGGCCAATATATAGTTTGAGAGACGGTTATTTATTCAACACATTTCCTGAATACCTACTATGTGCCACCTTATGTTGTAGCTGGTGTTTATAAAGAGTTTAATGAAACATGGGCTACCTGTATCCATCAGGACTCGTGGGTTACAGGCGACAGAAACTCAACTTCTACTGGCTTAATCCATCAAAGGGAATGTCTTGGCTCACGTTCCTGAAAGTTAGGCCCCGCTGGATGCATATTTCACTTGGCATCAGCAGGAATATGTCCCCTTGTCTCCATGCTGTCTTCACTTTCAGGCAGGGTCTTCTTCCCTGGAGTCCCTCAGCTGCTTCACGCTTCCCTCGACCCAGTTTCAAGAGAGTGCCTCTCTCTAGGTTTCTCCAGTCCAAAGCCCCAAGGATCAACTGCTATTGGTTCTGATTAGGTCGTGTACCCCTCCCTAGACCTACCCAGGGGCCAAGAGAATATGATGCTTTGATTGGCCAGGCCAGGGTCACATTTCAGTCCCCAGAACTGAGTAGAACGGGCTCCCCTGAAATGATCTAGGAGGTGGGACTCGCAAATGTTGACTGCTTGGCTCTCTGAGGATGACGGACAACCTGAAAGCCCCTTTATGTTGCAGAACTGGAGAGCCCAGCTGAGAGGGTGCACCAGATCCAACAAATCCTCATCACCCTTCCCCGCGTGGTCATCGTGGTCATGAGATATCTCTTCGCTTTCCTCAACCAGTGAGTTGTCCAGCCAGGGGCGGGGGGTGAGGGGGGCACGCCCCTTTTGGACTCAGGGAGTCCTGAGACCTTTGCAGGTACAGCTGTTCTTAGAACATGGAACCTTCCCAGATTTGAGTGGAGCCTTCAAGAGAAAGAAATCACAGGGGGAGGCTTCGCCTTTCCCAGGTGACCTGTGGGTGCCTCCTCTCTTACAGCCTCTCGCAGTACAGTGACGAAAACATGATGGATCCCTACAACCTGGCCATCTGCTTCGGGCCCACCCTCATGCACATTCCTGATGGGCAGGACCCTGTGTCCTGCCAGGCACACGTCAATGAAGTCATCAAAACCATCATCATCCATCATGAAGCCATCTTTCCCAGCCCCCGGGAGCTAGAAGGACCCGTGTATGAAAAATGCATGGCTGGAGGGGAAGAATATTGGTAAGATTCCATTCCTCTTCATATTATTATCCCATTCCTCTTAATACTATTATTATCATGTTGTTACTGTTGAATGGCAACAGTAAGAAACCCTTTAATTTTCTTACTGCTTTATAGTCTGTACTCTCATTTGAGCTTCACAGCAGCCTGACATGAGATAGATGCATCAGTCTAGACTCTATTGATTTATAAGGGACAGGAATAGAACTCAAAGTGGTTTAAACTAAATGGGATTTATTGGTTTACTTAAAAAGTCTGGATCATGGCGTCAGGTATAGCTAGATCCAGGGGTTCGACTGTTATCATCAGGACTCGGTCCTGCCATCCTCAGCCTGTGGCTCCTCTTTCTTCCATGTTGGCCTCATTCTCAGGCAGCCTTTTTCCTGGTGGTTTCAAGAAGGCGTCGGTAACTCCAGATTTAGAGCCCATTCTCTCAGCATCCCCAGTGGAAAAAGAGCACCTCCTTCCCAAATGTTCCAACACAAGCCCAAGAATGGTGTCTCCTTGCTGGGGCTTGAGGCTGGTGAACTAATCACATTGGTTAGCAGATCCAATGCTGTCCTTGGCCAGGTGAGTTGTAAGTCCATCTCAGGCAGCAGGGAAGTGGATAATCTCCACCTCAAACTCACGAACTGAGAGAGTGACACTCCCTGCCATTGTCCCCGTCCACCAGGAGGTCTCTTTTCCAGCAAAGTGAATCCAGTCTTTGAGAGCTCCACACCAGGTCAAGAGTTGCTAGTTGGGCACTTACACTGGGTCAGGGGAGAAATATGTCAGAATCTTATCAAAATCAGGGCTGACTACTTTCCCCAGGCTGAGACCTTAAATGTAAGACGGGAAATTTTTTTTTAATGTGGAAAAGACAGAAGGGGAGAAATATGTCAGAATCTTATCAAAATCAGGGCCGACTACCTTCCCCAGGCTGAGACCTTAAATGTGGTAAGACAGGAAATTTTTTTTTAATGTGGAAAAGACAGGAGATTCAGAACACTGGCTGACAGAGACCAGTCAAAGGGTTGGCACTCTTTCTTTATCCCCAACCCAGGACAATACACAGCTGTATATTTAGCATTGCCTGCACTGCTCTGAGCCAGGTGCCTGCAGGAATTTGTCTTTTGATTGTCAAAGCATTCCTGGATTCTTGAATCGCTTTAGTTCTGAAGGCATATTTGGGCAACTGCTTCAAAGAAGGGAGCTGTTCCAGCCCATTTCCCCATTACACTTCCCTGCACAGAAAGATGGGCCCTGGTATTATCTAATTGCAGCTCTCTAATCTCCTGCGAGGCCCCAGGAGCAAGTCTGTCCCTGTTCTGTTACAGATACATTGAAGAACCAGCAAGCAGACTTTTTGGACAGAGAAGCTTTTCAAGTTTTTGTACCATTACCAGTTCTTTATTAATGTTCTGGGAAGGGTCCTTAAAAAGATTGTACTGTGCTTATCAAAGAGCAATATGCAATCACCATACTTTTCTTAATCTCATTCGCATCCCATGAGAAAGGAAAACTGTCAATTACATGGTAATTTTGGAGACATTTTCAAATCCCCAAAGGGGGATTTGGCTGAGGGTCTCATCACAGTGGACAACATTCACTGATTCAACAAATGGTTACTGAACATATGTCCTGGCTCAGGCCCTGGGAAGGGGGGTGGAGGACGGGGAGGAATGTGCCCTAAACAGGATTAACCCCTGATGCAGGCAGCTCTGGTGGAGGAGGGAATAGGCAGTTCCAGAAGTAGGGTCCCCTGAGCCAATATAGGGAGGTCAGGAAATGCCTCCTGAAGGAGACAGGGACTTAACTGAGACCTACAGACCTACAGGCAGCCAGGTGAGGAGCAGGCAAAGAATGCTCTAAACACGGAACATTCAATAACATGGAAAGCAGCTCTGTGTTTCCACAGTGTTTCCCGTGACCAGGAGGTGGTGAGGGAGGACCCTCTGTGGGACAGCAGGGGCTGAGTTAGGAGAGGTCTTAAGCCTTGTGCAGAGTCTGGGCCTTATCCAGGAGGCAACAGAGAGTTTTTCCTAATAAAAATCTATATTCCTTTAAATGGTATTGCCAGTGTCACCTACTCTGAGAAGCCTTCCCTGACCACCCTATATAGGTCCCCTCTGCTGTTCTTGTCTCTGTTCATTTGTTCCTACATAAAGCATTTCCACTTGCAGTTTATTTCCTGGCCCATGAGGGTGGGTCTGTGTCCATCTGACCCATCAATGCATCCCTTGTATCTAGCACAGTGTCAGGCATATATGAGGACTCAATCAATGGCTCAGTAAAAAAAAAAAACTGACTGACCAGCTGTGTGAATGAACCTTGGCTTAATCTTGTGAGAGGGAATCAGCTGGTGAAATTATGCCAGTGCGTTAAGGACTAAATTTGACCGGCCTGGATTCCCTCTGTCAGCCTGTCCATCATGGGTGCTGGCCTGCTCACACCACCTGGGCTGGTCTGGGCTTTTGCACACAGCATCCTAAGGCAGCACTGAGGACCCCTGCTTGTGAGCGTCACCCCACCTTGCTGGGTGTGTCATTTCTCGCATAAGACAGGGAGCAGGGCTAAATGAATGACTCCCAGTACTTCCAAAAGTCCTTTCTACCCTGTGGTTCTTCTAAGGAGAAAAGCCAGGGTTTTGCCACTGCCCTCTGGATCTTACAGAAGACCTTGGTATTGACAACCTTTACCAAGAAAACAGCCCAACCAATTCCAGGGCTGCGTCATCTGGGGAAGATTATACAGGGAAGCTTCTCGACCAGGAGTCTGAATGGTTTTCTCTTAGGAAGGAAGGTCCATGGGTGGTCAGATGGAAAAGAAGGGACCGAGTGGGCCTGGGCCTGGGCCTGATCTGGTCAAGGCCCAGAGGTGGACTGGGCTGGTGCCTGAGGGAGGCTAAGGGCAGCGTGAGGGTACAAAGCCCCCCAACGAGTCCCCTTTCCATGTTTCTTTGCAGTGATAGCCCACACAGTGAGCCGGGGACCATTGATGAAGTTGACCATGACAATGGCACTGAACCTCACACCAGTGATGAAGGTGAGTGGAGGGAAATCTGGGACCAAGGAACCCACTCGGGGCCTCTTATGCTGGCCCAGGACTGCTCAACACTGGGCCGGCCACAGAACCCCTCCCGCTTTGCAAGTCAGCACGTCGTCCCCAGAATAGATGGGGACTCGGAAAGACCTCGGAGGCTTGTGCGTTCCATGGATCACATTCCTACCTGGCTGCCTCGTCCCTCTCTGTGTCCTTGTTGATCCAAGTGCAAATCCTAAGTGACAAGAGTTTCCTAAGTAGGAAGCATGCTTTGTCCCTCCGTTCCTCCCCAACCAGGGATCTGTTCTGTGCCCAGCTGTGCTAGGACTTGGGGCATATCGATGAACTAGACATGGATCACTGGGACCTGCAGTCTCATCACCTGACAGGTTGGGAGCAGCTCCCCACGATGCAGAGTGATAATGCCAGACTGCAACTGCGCCCCCAGAGCGGTGGGTGCCTGAATACAAAGCCTAACAGGACCGGCCCAGGGAAGTGGAGGGAAGGAGGGAAAGGCCAGGCTGGCTTCTGACGGCTCACCGGGCCCTTCCACCATTCTAGACAAGGAGAAGAGAGTCAGGTTAGTCTCGCGGGAGCCTGGACTGTGCAGATAAGCAACGTGGATAATACAGGCCCAGGGCCACACGTCCATTAGGCACAGCAGGCACAGTAGGCACAGTGTCCTGGGCCCACAACACTTGAAAATGTTCTAATTTCTTTTAAAGTAAGAAGAAAAATATGAATATAGTCCAGCCTGGACTACATTTATCTTTATGCCAATACAGTTGTAAATATAATTTTAACTTTTTGTTAATGGAGGAAGAGACCTGTCAGGGCCAGCCTGACAGGTTGAACCGGGCTGAGGTAGGGAGGTGGGAATTGAGAAAAGAAAGAAAGACAGGAGAGCGGGATCGGGAGGACTGCAGCTCAATCGAGGAACTGCAGTAAGTTTATTAACCACACAATGCTTTTTATACACAAGACACTGAATAGGAGGTCTGTCAAGAGGAATGTATTCTTTGTTCCTCTTAATCTCTAAGGGAGAGATAGAGCAGAAGGACAAATTCTCGGTACAGCAAATCTCAGTAAATAGTTACAGACTTCTTGGTAAGCCATGAAAGGCTGTTCTCATTCTACAAAGGTTGCTCTCATTCTACTGATAACCGCCATCCAAACAAGTCTGGGAAAACTGTGGGTAAGGGTTCCAGCCTTGCTAGCCCTTCAGGTGCAAGGACCATGTCAGCTTACACCCGGTCTCCAACAGAGACCCATGCAAAAACAAGTGCAGAGTGCCTGTGAGAGTCATAGCACAGCCACTATAGACCAAGCACAGCCCTCCTGCCTCCCTGAGAGAGTTTTGCTTTTTTATAAATCACTATTTAGCGTTTCTCTTACTGACCTTGTGTTTCTATTGTGGGACATTTGGGTTTTGTTCCAAGCACAAAGGGAAGCCTTCCGAGGGATTTGAACAAGAGAGTTTCATGATCTAATTTATGATTTTTAATTGAATTCATTGGGCTGACATTGATTAATAAAATTATACAGGTTTCAGGTATTGTGTGTTTACCACCCCAAGTCTATTCTCCTTCCAACACCATTTATCCCCTTTTCCTTCTTCTAACTCTCCCCTCCCTTCTTCACCCTGGCAATCACCATACAGTTGCCTATGTCCATGAGTCTTTCTTTTTTTCCTTTGCTTAATCCCTTCACCTTTTTCACCTAGCCCCCAACCCTCTCCCCTCTGACAGCTGTTCTCTGTATCCAGGAATCTGTCTCCATTTTGTTTGTTAGTTTACTTTGTTCATTAGATTCCATATATAAGTGAAATAATATGGTACTTGTCTTTCCCTGGCTGGCTTGTTTCACTTTGCATAATACTCTCCAGGTCTGGCTGCTATGGGGAGAAACGGCTCCCCACGCAAGAATGAAAGCCAGGAAGGCAGGTAGAGGGACAACGGTGGCAGGGGAGGTGGTGAGACTGGTCAGACTCAGGGGATAGCTGCAAGGGGCTGCTGATGGGTGAGATGTGGGACTCTGAAGAGCAACTGCAAGGCTTTGGCCTGAGCCAGTGAGCAAGGTGGTTCTATTTGCTAACTGGGGAAGATGAGAGAATTCACTACGTTTGGTGAGGGGTGTGTGGGAGAATGGTGCAAGGGAGAATAACATACTTTATTTCGGTATTATAGACCCAAATAATGGCTTTCTTAATAACTGGTAGCTGCTATTACTGTTCCCACCACACACACTTACATAATGACATCTGTACACGTGTTCACGCTCAGCTGGGGCTCAGCTCGGCTCCTCCCATTTTCTTCTTTTCTTTCTCTTTCATTTTCCATTCCTCCCCCGC